GGGGGGGGGGGGGGGCTAACGGGATAAGGTAGTGAGGGGAGCCACCGACTTCTTTGTACTCTGATGGGACATTATGAGAATAGTAAATTATCTGAAATCGTGTTTTTAAATTTTAATTTATTAATCAATTATTAACTTTAAAAAATATATAATTAGTTGATCATTTGAATGTAATTAATACCGCAAATATAGATTACGTCACAATCATATATCATATTAAGTCACAATTATTCAATTTATAGGTCACAATCATTTACATACCACCTAATCACATTCATAAACCACCTAATTTGTGAAAATTATTTTGAGTTTGTTAATTTAAAAATTATTTTTTAAACTATTGTAGTTATGAAATTTCCCTTACGAGAATTATGTGTAGATAACAATTTTAAGTATCTCATATTTCAAAAGTAAATTAAAAAATATGTTTTATTTATTTATTTGGCCATTCAAAATTTAAAAAACAAATCAAACTCCAATTTTATCAAGTTCCTCTTTGGACTTCATTAAAATGTGTTTTTAGAGAAAGAAAATTTTTGAATTTACATGTAATTTTATTTATTAGAAAATATATAGTTAAAAATAGAGAAAAATACATTTTAGATAAATATGGAGCCCATATAAGTCTAAGTGTTTGTTTGACAAAAATTTATCAACTTTTAAATTAGTTAAACTTCAATCTTGACCACAAATCTCATCAAATTCACAACTGTATTAACTTTTCAAACACATATTTCATCAACATTTATTAAAAACTTGATTAAATAACTAGGGCCGTACAAAACTTTCGAACCAATTTGGATTCGAACCAAGTGATTCTTTTTAAGTTAAATACTCGAACGGGTATCTGAATAGAGTACCGATTGGTTCGGTTCAATTCTCGATTTTAGATTAAGAATCGAAGAATCAAATAAAAACCTGATCTCCCTAATTTTTTAATTTATTTATTTTAAATAAGTCCCTAATTTTTTTAGTTTATTTATTTTAAATAAGTCGAACTATTTTTTACTTTTTTTAAAAATAAATTTGCTAACTAGTTAATTTTGCACAAATCCAAAAATATGATTTTGCTATTTCTAATTTTTAGTACAAGTCTAATTTAATCAAATTAACCTAAGTTTTATCCAAATCTGTTATTCTACCGTGGTATCGTTTCTACCGTTCTGGAGAAATCGAATTGAAACTTGAAAGCCCATCTCTTAATTTTTGTAAACTCACTATTATCATCTTCATGTGATTTTAACAATTAAATCTATGAAAAACATAGCAAAGAAAGACGCAAAAGACATATAAGGTTGAACTACGTTATTTTATAAGAGCTAAAATTGAATGTCATTAGTTAAATTAATATATCTTTGTAAATATTAAAAAAATTAATTATAGTACATAACTTAGAAATCAAATCAAACCGAACTCGAACGGTTCTATAATTAAATTTGGATCCAACAGTTCCACTTACTAAGTACCCAAAATTTTGAGTTCAGTTCGATTCTCGTTAAAACTGACCCGAACCGGACCATGTTCACCCGTACAAACAACCTCTAAATACATAAAATAATTATTTACTTTTATAAATCAATTTGTAGAATTCATGACTTCATATCTTATTTTTTTCTAATATGTAATTGAGAAGTTATAAGATAAACATTTTCACACTCATCTAGAACTTAATGCCAATTTATTCTAGATTTGGACCTGGTCCTCGATGACAAAAGAGCTTGAATACACATTTTCCTAATTTCTAGTATTGCAAATTTTTGAAAGAATTTGTATCATTCTATATCAATTACAGCCTGTTTGGGAGTGATTTTCCCTCAAAAAATTGATTTTTTGTCGTAAAAAGTTGTATTTTGTTGTTTCCTCAAAAAATGATGGTTGAGAAATCTTTCAAGAAAAGTTTTTTTCGTGATACTAAATCTTGGGTGATTGAGATGGATTTTGAAGTCAAGATCTTGATGATAAAGAACTCAAATGTGTTTCTCCTACTACTGTAAATATTGATTCTAATTTCTATATCCCTACATTTTATAAAATAAAATCACGAACCCACTCAAGCCTCTCTTTCCTCCTTTTTTTTTTTTTTTTTTTTTGACATTAAAAGTCATATTTTGTTGTTCCCTCGAAAAATGATGGTCGAGAAACCTTTCAAGACAAGTTTTTTTGTTGTACTAAATTTTGAGTGGTTGAGATGGATTTTCAAGTCATGTTCTTGATGATAAAGAACTCGAATGTGTTTCTCCTACTACTGCAAATATTGATTCTATAGCCCTACATTTTATAAAATAAAATCACGATTCTACTCATATAAAATGACCTATTAAATATCATATTGCAACATCATCAGATCTCAACTAGAGGATATAACTTTTACAATTTTGGTTTTATATGTTACATTAACTCTACCACGCCGACCCCTCCCATGTAGCCAAAATTCGTTGACTAATTTTATCTGTCCACCGATCCAGTTTAGGTGACATTATCTGATAGGCTCAAT